TACAAATAATTATTTCACATAGATGTGTAGAAGTCCATTTGCATTTTCTGTCTGTGGAATGTGGCATGTCTTTGCTGTCAACAGTTCTCATTTCTGTATCCTGGACAGGGACTTTCAATGATGAGAAATATAATTCTTCTAGCTAAGATATGAAACACCATTGTTTTTCCTTTTAATAATAATATTTCTGTTTGGACATTTTCCAGGTATATACTTCACCACTTACTGATCCTCCTTTTGCATTCTCTGACATATATTTTTTTAATTGAAACAGTTGTTTTTGGCAAAGTAAAGGACAGAGATGAGAAAGTGAATGACCCAAAGGTAGTCAGTGCCATTTACATTAAGGTACTCAGTGCCGTTGAAACATGTAGCTATAGTGCGCTGTCCTAAAGGGCAGCCACTAGCCCCATGGGGCTCTTTAATTTTAAATTTAAATACAATAAAATGTTTACTTCCCCAGTTTCACTACTTTGTTTATAGTGGTCAATTATTAGTGCAGATAAAGAACATTTCTATCCTTCAGAAAGTTTTATTGGGCAGCACTGGAGGATTCTTGTCTTAGAATGTGATGAAATATTTTAGGGGGCCATTCTCATGGAAGAATCTCAAGAATACATCAATAGTTGGAAGATTATTTATGTTTTTTCTTTTTGTGTTCTCATGTCGTAACTGAACTGAGGGCACAGGGAATTCACAGGTGGCTCAAAAGCTCCCACCGGGCTTGCTCTGACCTCCAGGCTCCACAGCCCCAAGCTTCTTCCACAGCAGCCCTACTTTTGTCTGTTTTAAAATTGGAGTTTCTTGATAACACATCTTGTGTACAAATGGTTGTTTCTCTTAAATGGTTGGAAACTTGTTCTAGTTGATTTACTGAGAACTGATTGGTTTTGGGGGTTGATAAAAAAGAAGTCATAGCGTTTTGGGACTTGCTCCTTCGTACTTCATCTCCTCAACTTAATTAATGGCTTTCTGCATGGATGTATACATACATGCATTTGTTCAGGTTAAATATCATTGTGATTGATGTGATTGCTTCTAAGATATCTCAAATTGAGAGTATAGATTGTTACAAGAGAAAAAATAAAAATGTGTAGAGGTAATGATATCTAATTTTCTAGTGACAATAGGTATTTTTTTTTAAATTATGGAGTTTTTTGATTGTTCCTTTTTTTTAATGCTAAATAATTTTCCTTTCCCACTCTCTTTTCAGAATAATGATTTGATGCTTTAACTTCCTGCTAGAGTGACCAGTGTAATTTTTAAAAATTACTAAAAAAAGGATACACTCATGGATTGTAATATGATGTGTTTCAGTTAATTGCAGTCATTACTCTCGTTGCCTCTCTGACTTTCCTGCATTTGGCCCAGGGGAGCTTCAGTCTTTTGGCTCCTTTTATTTGGCTATTCCTTAGTAGTTCCTGAAAGCTTCCTTGATTCCTGGTTCAGCAAGATATTCCACATCTATTTTGCACATTTCCTACATAAAATCTGCAGTCACTCACTTCTCTAAGGGACTCTAAGGACATCTTTAAAAGACATAAAGCTCAATTTTGTCTTTTTTCTCTTAGGGTAACACAATTTACAGAAACATACTAACAATACATAAAGCCGGGGGGAAAAAGTCCTTCAGCATTCATATTAGTTTGAATATAAACATATTTATTACAGAAAAGGGTTACAATCTTAAATGGAAGATGACGAGTTGGGTACGTGTCTGTTTATGGGAACTTGAAAGAGTGCCCTGTGAAGGCTTTTAGGCAAGTGTATTTTTGTTATTAGGAATTATTTTGCATACAGTGACTCTCTGAACTGTTAGAGTCTCTTGCCACAGATGTACATAATACAAAAGTAGATATTCAACTAACTAGAAATCAGCAAATTACTGTTTCTTCAAATCTTCGTGTTGTGAGCAGTAAAAAAATGGAATGTTAAATATTTATTATTTCATTTTATTTTAAACCCATTTACATGGTTCAATGTGATCTGCACATTAGAGTTAAGGAAAGACACAAAGGGCAAGGAATGTAAAAATCAGAGTTAGCTTCTGCTGAGGGCTATTGGACAGATGGAGAATAATTTGTGATGTAAGCTAAACCACAGTACTTTTAATATCTCTGAACCCCTTTTCTTGTTCTTTCCATTGCAGACAGCTTGGCAACCATTTCTCTAGGCTAATGGAAACTACTTGTAATATTTATTCATCCTCATTATTTTCATTGTCAATTTTTCCTTGAAAATCTATTTCCCATTTCAGTTCTAAAATTTAAATTCCATCTAACTGATATGCAAGCCAGCATTCCTTTTTGGCAATATTTCTATGTAATAAAAAAGATACAGAGTGGAGATTGGTTGGAATGAACATCTAGAATAGGTTTTATCTTCACACTTCTCATGTCGTGTTGTCATATCTTGGCCAAGGGCATAGATCATTGAAGTATAAATATGGTTGTTCATATCTGGGTTCATTTGTAGATCCTGTCAGTGTTCCAAGTCCAGAGGTAAAGTTTGTAGGTTCATTTGGAAGAAGTTGGTTTTTCTGTGCCACTCCAGTCTAGTGGGGGGAAGCCAAATCACCTCTTCCCTGAGAGAGCATTTCATAACGCCTCCATCTCTGCAATCGCACCGAGTCGTTATGTAGCAGTTGGCTCTGATACGCTTCCACAGACACAAATTGAGTCCGACAAGACTGATGTCTCCTGGACTTTGCTGTCATTTGAAATGCTAGCATGAGGATGGGAACGGGGAAAGGGGGAGGGGAGGAGAGCTGATTTCTGTAGCACTTTTCTTGTGGAGTTTTGAGAATTTTAACATTTGATAGCTGCGAACTGCTTGATAAGTTGTTTTCCAGATGAGATTGACAACAATAGCTGATGTGGAGCAGCTGGCTAGCTTTTGGTTTCAAGTAGATGCATTTCAGTGTGTAACTTGCTTCTTCATGCCACCTACAAATCTGTTAAAAAGAAAAAAAAAGACTATCTGGTAGAATGGTAATGAGAATGATTCCCCCCTTCCTTTTAGGCTTATCTTTATTGCATTCAAACCACTCATGAATAGTAATGAAAAGATGATATATTGTTTTTAATCTTTATTCTCACGCGCAAGCTCAGTTTCAGCAAAGACATGCCATAGGATCAGCTTTACAATACTTTTTAAAGTACAAGTTATTTTAGGGGATTTGGATATTTCAGGATATCTCTAGTATTTTCTGTCAAGAATTTTGTATGTGTGTCAAATGTTCCAATATACAAAACTTAAAGGTACACTGTTTCATTTGGCAAATGAATTCCAGTTGTCATTCTCAAGTTCTCACAATAGAGGAAGCGATAGCATTCAAAATTCTCTCACCCTCTGTTTAAAAGCCTACTCTGTCAGGTGCTGTGCTAGATTTATTGCAGGTTCTATAGGACCATTTATTTACCACATGAAGGGTCATGTTGGAGCTAATCACGGCTTCCCTTCTTTCCACCCCCACTGGGACCACCATCACTCTTACAGTCTGTGTTACTTCCCGCCCAGGACTCTTGCTATGGCCTAATAGTGTTCTCTATATCACCCCACATTCAGCCATCAGATAATCTGCCCAGAGCCTAGTTCCATGTTGTTCCTCTGCTCCAAACATTAAATACCTCTCCTTGTGGTTTGCTAAGTACAGGCTGGTTGACTTAGATTAGCATTCGAGGCTCACTATGACATGCAGATGTACATACATATACATACACACCCACCTCCACACACATATAGTTTGTTTTGTTTTTTTGTCTAAAACTTTTTCTTTTGCCTTACCTTCTTCTGATTTCCTAATGGATCCGTCACTCCAACCCAATGGTTTCGGTGTGGTCCCTGGACCAGGTGTATCAGCATTACTGAAGTACTTGTTAGAAATGCGAGCTCTTGGGCTCCAGCACAGACCCACTGAACCGTAGCCTCTGGGGGTGGCACCCAGCTGCTGTAATAAGCCTTCCAGGGGATTCTGATGCGTGTAGACACTTGGGAGACCCTGCTCCAGCCAAACCAAGACACTCATCTTTTCCAGAGTTCCTTTCCCAACATCCTGCCTTCGCACAGACTTCTTGGAGTGCTTTTCCCTCCTTACTAATGCTTTGCCTGTCCTTCAAGGCCCAGTTTGAGGCACTGCTTTTTCTATGATGGCCTTCCTAATCCTGTCTTCTATGGCATTGTTTTCCTTCCTGGCACTAACCAGTTTTTAACTTGTACAAACCATCTGATGTATTTGGCTTACTTTCTCCACTAAACTGGAAAGTTGTAGTTGATGAAATCTGACTCATTCTTGTACCTTGTGGCACTCTGTGCTTAGTGCCATCGCTGACGCCTTGCACACAGTAGGGCCTCTAATACTAGTTTATGGCTTACTGATTTTTATATAGAAGATTGAGAAAACTAAGCCACTGCCCAGGGGACATATAAAACTCCTGTTAAGTCAAAGAGGCTCATGCTAACTATTGTTTTGACTTACAGAAGCCAAACTCGACTTGACTATTGATGTATCTTCAGGGAAGAAGCCAAATGTGCTCATGTAAAAATGCCTAACCTCTCCTCTTCAGCTGGGGAAGTTGAATTAGCCCTGTCATTTCACCTAGTGCCAAGAAAGCAGCTTCCATTATTCTGTCCATAACAGACTTATCCGACACAGAGGAGTTTCCCTTAACTCTTTCTCATAGCCTTGGTGTGCTGTCTTCCACTGATGTATTCACGTAATGTTTCATAAGAAGTGACAGTCTCTTCTCAGAGTATTGCCCAAAGAGTGGCATAAGCAGAGAGTGAAATTCGAGGTAGTTGGCTTTAGGATGGCCTGAAAATGGAAACAAGATGTGCTGGGGTTGCCACATTTTACAAACCAAGTTACGATTACAATTTATCATGTGTTTACCATGGGTTATGTCTCTCGTGGTGGTGGTGATGGGACAAGTGGAAAGAGTGAGAAATCTAAGCATCTTTGTGTTTTCTCCCCTTTCTTTTCTGTTCATCTCCCCTGACAGGCTCTGAAAGCATTCCAGCTGAAATTTCAGATTGGACAGGCTTGCTGTGGCTTCCGAGGCAGGGACTCCAGGCCTCCAGCGCGCGCTGCTGCCAAGTTGCAGGATGGTGCACGTAGCCAGGCCGCTGCTACTACTCCTAGCCTTGTTCCTCCGCGCCGATGCTGAGAGTAAGTCATTCCACCCTCCCCAGGGGGCTGCCACCATAATGCAGGGCTGTGTTTGCAGTTGGCACCGTGATCAGGGCATCTGAATGCGTTTCCTTTGGAAATAAATCCTGAGACACTGTGGGATCCTCCTTGGCTACCAGCCAGCCTTTGAAAGAGATTATTGATGTGACTTCCTTACCATTTCCTCTCTCTCTTAATGTCCCTTTTCTTGTGCGACTAACTGCTCCTACTGTTTTGTCTTTTTTTTTTTTTTTAATTCTTCCCAGCCTGGTGGCAAAGTCATATTATGAGGCTGATGATGTAACTCAAACTGGGCTTACCAGTTGGTGGTGCCAATAAGGAAACGTTCAGACCGTTAGAAATTTCTTTAGATTTGTGGATATTTCTATGTTTAGAAAAATGCACAATGTCACATTGAGCCCAATTAAACTGGCAAGTCCCTTGTAGCTGTCATAGCAGCTGTTCAAATGCACTGTTTCCGACAGCTGTCGTCGAGTACAGTATTCAAACAAGTCAGGCAGAACTGACAACTTCGTGGCTGGATGAAGAGTGTGAATGTATGATAATTCTGTGGAGTACAGACACCAAAGTTTGGTTTACTGGACTCAGTATATGAAACTGAGATTTTGGTCATTAGGTTGCCACTTAATATGACCATAGCTCCTTTATAATTAGGAATTCATTAGGTCTACCTTATTTATGTATGTTTCTTGTCCATCTGCCTCATGGTCTTTTGGAAGAGATAGTACTGGAAAAAGGTATGGACTCACTGACATGTCTGGTTTCATGGTAGTGATTTAGCTCATGGGAGAGCTGGCCATTCTCCTTGGGATCCTCTGGTACTATGAAAATATATAACAGCTGCATTCATTGGCTTTTCTTTCCACTTGCTTTTTCAGTGATTACATTTGATTCATGTTAAGGATGTTTCAAAGACAAGGATCCTGTGTCCTGTTGGCCCCTACCTATTAGCTGCAGTTTGACAAGAATTTCCTCAATAGCAGCCAAATTTTTTGTTTAAACAGGGGCTCTATTTGCTAAAGAGAGCTTTCCAGGAGTAAAAGCAATGATGTTCCTAATAAGATACATATGGAACATGCATGTTTTAAGCACAATATTCTCTGGTTGATAATGTATATAGTCTGCTAATTAGCAATTGAGAGTGTTGGTTTAAGGTGAGGCCAAGGAATTTCTAGTCTAATGCCAGTGAATAATTAACTGGGAAAAGACCCAAATGAAAGGTGATCTTGTTATTTTAAAGACATTAGTGTCAAAATGTATCTTAAAGTTGAAGTCTAAATTTAGTTTACTAAAGAAACCAGGCATATGGCTTTATTTATTTATTTATTTATTTTGTTTTGGTTAGAATGAAAAAGTAAGTTGTTCTACAGCTGTTAACCTGTGACAAGACCCTGGGAATCCAATTTAATATCAGATCACAGAGATTTTCTTAAACCCACTAGATAAAATTATTATATATCCATGAAGTTATCTTTCTAGATAAGTAAAAATGTTCTTCTACTGAGCAGATATGCTCTCTTTAATTCTCTCGTGGGAAGTGGCAGACAGATGTCAAGAGTTTAGGAACACGTACTTTTGAAATTATGTTTTATTGAACAATCCATACTATAGTGATCATCAACTACTCCTTGTCCTCCTGCTCTTCACTTTCTCCCTTTTCCTGTCATCCTTCATCACACTTACAAAAGAAATAACAAGGGCCTGCATTAGCAATTTTTGGTTAAATTAGGATATTTGCCATGTTATATTTAAGTGCTATCAGCTTTCAGTCTCAAAGTGTAACATGGAAAAGAATCCATTCTCTCTCACTCTTCCCACTGTAGTGAGAAAGACAGCACAAGCTTCTTCTTTGCCAGATTAATTTTGTTTAGTTTTATCCATGTCTAGGTAGCCTTGTCTTAATATATTTTCCCTTTAACAGATTCATTTGGTATTGTTGAATAGTATGTGTAACCTGAGAGTTCCTGATGAAAGGCAAAAAATTAGCCACGTTCTTTTAGGTTTATTTTAAAGAAGAAAGAACATCCCTTACTAACCTACTGGAAGATATCTGTGGTATATGAAAGCACGTGGTAGGGTTGGAGATACAATTTTAGTCACTTAAGAATGTTTCAAGAACAATTGGTAAAATAGGATCTGGGTTAACCCATTAAATTGTGCCATTACCTTTTTTTAAAACACACCGAAAAAATCAGGACGTAAGTAGTGCTGAAGATAAGTTTGATTTCTTCACCATCACTTAAAGATAATATTTCTCAGCCTCCTCTTACTTGGGTCACTGGTTTGTCTCCCCTATGCTTTCATTAGTATATCTAGTCATACTTGTTTTTCCTAATGCCTATGCTTCGTATTTATACAAGGAATAAGGAGTTACACTGCAAAATTTAATAGTAGCTTCTCAGAGCCATTTGAGAACTATGAAATAATTTTTATTTTAATTTTTTCTCATTTGAAAAAGAGGACCTGGTTGGGGTGGGGAATCGATTAGAAAACTCTAGTTTACCATGCTAAACGAATGTGTTCGGTTCACTGCCTTTTGAAATGATTAACTCCAAAAAGCCAAGGAGTCAGGATTATAATCTGTTGAGTGGATCGCCATAGCAAAGTGTCAGGTGTGATGCTGCATAAGTAGCAGAGCTCTTAGGGAGCCTTGGTTCAAAGGCAGGTTCAAAAACTGATAATCTCTCTTTAGCAGAACAGTATGGTCTTTGCAATTCACAATTCAAAATGCCCTACAGATCCTCACTATTACTTTAAAAGGTTAGATGTGTGCATGAATTTTATTTCTTTTCATTCCTGTATCTTGAATGCCTAAAATGATTTTGCTTATTGTTCTTGAATACATGTACACCTAGTAGAGGCCATGGTCTCAGGGAAGGGTCAAGTGTGGCTTCTGTTTGAGCACTAAGAGTAGCTCTTACTCATGTTAGGGTGAACAGTTTTCTGGTTTAGGTAGTGGTCTGACTAAAGTCACTTCAGTAATTGGTGTATGCAAATTAAAGGTGAATTTATATCAGATCAGTGTGATCTGGGACAAATATTAAAGTTTTCTTTTGGCTGAGGTTTCATAATAGTTTCTGGTAGTTTTATTTCATATGTAACTTTAGTTTTCAATTCACTAGTAACTTTTTGTTTTGGTTTTCAAGGAGGTACAGGCCAAGAACCTGATGTTAACACCTCTCATCAAACCGGTTTCACTCTAATGAAACCGCTTACCACTTACTGTTGTATTCTGGACCTGTGTTCACATTTTGGACATTCTAAGTGGATCTGGGTGTTTACTAGGTCTTCATTAGGATCAAAACTCTTGATAGTTTAATTCCTCAAGTAGTGTATTTGGTCTATATTTTGTTTTTTTTGCCTTCCATCTCAGAAAGTGAACACTCCATCTTTCCTTATTAAGGAACCTTCCTGCACCCCTATCCACTCAGTATATTTCTGTTCTGTATGAAAGGTAATGTAAAACACAGATTAGCAGATGACACATGATGAATGTTTAATAAATGTTAGCTGTTGTTAATCTCGTTATTCCAAAACATTCAGCCACCATTTTAATTGAGCACTTGTGTTAGATACTGTGCTAAACTTCTTTTATTTGACCTATAGATTTTCAAAATTTGGGTGGATGATAAACCAGGTTTTCTTGCAGCATGTTAAAGTCCCGGCTTGCTTTTCTATGAGTTCTTATACATAGGCAATTCTTGTCTCATCAATTACACTGAAGATCAAGAGGGAAAAATATGAAGCATATATGCTTTAGGTAAGCTTTAAAAAAGGCGCCTCTCTTAGAATTACGAATTTAAAATTAATTTGGCTTAAGTCTAATGGATAATATAAAGTGTTCCATCCTTCTGTTCTGTCTTCTGGTAATGCATTTTTTTGAGCTGCTAAGAGGGAGGAGCTCTGGATATTTACTGTAAGCAAATATGAGCCAGTAGTCCAGAAAGCTAGTGATGGAGGGAAGCATGGTAGGAAAGTGAGTGGCTTTTGATGTAGCTAGAAATTACTCTTTAAGAAAAAAAAAAGAAAATGAAAATGATTACACTGAAGGGCAGGGCAAATTACTCCTTTTGCATTTTATAGAAATAACTACTGACAAGCAGCCTAAGTCAAGTAATTAGACTTTCTGAAATGAAGTTAGGAATGCCTTTCTTATGTCATCAAAATGCATGCCTCCCAGCAGACAGGGACCATTTCACTCCGTATCTGGGAAAGAATGTCTTTTGTTTTTAGATCACACATATTTGACTATGTATATATGTATGTATGTTTGTGTGTGGATCTGTATGTGTTTATTTATATGACAAACCATTTAATCATCCTTTGAAAGGTAAATTGCTTGGGATAATGAGAAGGTTCTAAAATTAGATTGGGGTGATGGTACTAATTGAATATAAACATTCTAAATGCTATTGAATTGTGCACTTTAAATAGATGATTTGTATCTTCTAAGAATTGTATTTCAAAAGGGCTCTTTGAAAAGAGAAGGTAAACAGCTGTTTAACCCAGCTCTTGGTTAGAATCCTTTGGTTTGTGTATATGTGAAAGGAAAAGCGTTGCTAGTTTCTCCAGGCAAGTTAAAAGAGACGTGGCATTGAGGAGCGCAGGTAGAAAGCCAGTTCATTTACCATGCTTACCAACGCCTTCCTTGCTTCCCTTTTCTCTGAATTTACAGATATGTGGTGAAATAAAAACCTTGCCCCTCTCTCTTCCTTCCCCTCCTTACATTAAAGTAGCTAAATTAGCAACATCCAGCTGTCTATAGCAAGGAAAATATCCCAGCTATTTTACTGATCTTTAAGCCCACTGCAGAGTTTTCTGCAACTTTCTGAATTAATTGGTCTCAGCAGAGCTATACCTACCAAATGAAGGTAAGAATATGTCACAAAATCAACAAATGTGTACACATAAAAGCATTTTATTGAGTGTAGAGGGAATGCTTTAAAAAAACAAATGCAAAGTATGGGGTATTTGTTACC